GTTGAGCAGTTCTGTCAGGAAACACATCGGCCAGACAGCCCTTGAGACGAATTGCAGCTGGTATTTCTACCTCCCCTGGCTCTCCAGCATGGCCCGGGCGGTGTGTGAGCAGGGTGAGACCTGCGCCCGAAACAACCCGCATCAGGGGCCCAAGGCCGCCCCTGGGGAGCAGAGCATCGGGGGAGCCCCATTAAACTGCGACGGTGGACTGCACGGAGCTCCCCGGGCTCGGGGCTGTGAGTATCTGTTGGTCTCTGTATGAGCTTTCTCAGGCTGGGTGGAAGCTTTCCCTACACGGACAGAAAAGGCACATGAAGTGGTCCCACTTTCCTCAAGGAAATTATCCCACGATTTGGGATCCCTGTCACTATGGGTTCAGAATGTGGGCCAGTGTTCGTGGCTGAGGTGGTGCAGCTGGTGGCAGAAGAGCTAAAGATCGCCTGGAGTCACACACGGCATCCTGACCCCAGACCTCGGTATGAACAGAACGAACAGAACCTTGAAGCTACAATGAAGTGAACTGTGCCAGGAGACCCACCTGCGCTGGGACTGGGTGCTGCCAGTAGCCTTGTTAAGAATCACATGCAGCCAGGGGGCCTGGGCAGCTCAGTCGGGCGTCCGAGTTCGGCTCAGGTCATGATCTCACAGTTCGTGGTTCGAGCTCCACGTCGGGCTCTGTGCTGACAGCTCAGAGCCTGGAGGCTGTTTCAGATTCTGTATCTCCCTCTCTCTCTGACTCTTCCCTGCTCATGCTGTCTGTCCCTCTCAGAAATAAAAAAAAAAAAAAAAAGAATCAGGTGCAGCCCCAATAAGCAAACACGGCTTTCCCCTTATGAAATTCTTTTTGGGTGCCCTCCCCCAATTGTTAAGGGGATAAGGGGAGATTGAAACGAGGTCGGCAATCTGACCCTAAGGCAGCAGATGTAGGCTCTGGGCTCTACTCTAGCCACCCTACACCGATGGGTTAAAGAGCGATTGCCTGTGAGTCTGACCACAGATGCTCACTCCTTTGAGCCAGGAGATGCAGTGTGGGTAAAAGAGTGGAATGTCCAATCACTCAAACCCCCTTGGAGGGGCCCATTCCCTGTCATTTTGTCCACTCCCACTGCAGTAAGAGTAGCTGAGGTGGGTCCCGGGATTCGCCACAGCAGAGTGAAGCCGGCGTCCGGGGACTTGGAGTGCGTTCCTGATCCGTCCACGCCGTGGGAGCTGAGCACAGGGAAGCCGCGAGCTGCCACGGGAGACCTCAGCCCTGCATCAGGGAACTGACTCATCTACGCACGGCACAAGCTGGAGGAATCGCCGATCCACGGAAATACATAGAACGTCCTTACTTCCTACATCTGCCTCTTACTCTAACGCACGGTCACCCCTCGTCTCTCACTGATCTTGCAATTTTTGCCTTACTTCTTGCTATTGCCTTGGCGGAGGTCGCCCCAGCCAGCTGGAAATGTGGCGAGAGGTTTCTGGTAGCCCTCACTTTTCTCTTGTGGGTAGGATGCTCTGTTGGTATTGGTTGTGTTTAATTTGGTCTCCGTTTGTAAACCTGAATCTCTCATCATGTGATCCATGTATTCACCTAACCGGGTCAGGCCAAGGAGCCACCTGGACCCTACTGTGCCCCACCCACTTCTCATGCCAGGGAAAGGTCCGGGAGACATGCGTACACAATTAGACCACCTATCCCATCAGTCAGTGGGGGAGCCAATACACTTGCTTTGACCTATGATACTCCCCAAATGAAGATTGGTTAGAAGTCCAATCCTACCGGGAAGAGGGGGACTTGATCAGCCGGACACGAATCACAAACCCCAAGCATCGGGCGTCAGTACTGTTTGATGTGTGTGCGGTTATAGGTCCAGGCCCAGAAACATCTGTCATACGGAAAAAGTGGGCACCTGTCAGGGAGGGCCCGAAGACTCTTGATATACCATGTGGAGGCCTAGATTGGGAGCGAAAATACCAGCTCAATGACAAACACCTGTATGAGGAAATGGTCTATGTGCCTCCACACCTGAGTTTCTATGTCCCAGTTGGAGCTGTGTTTCATGGGCCACTTGGAAGAAACGAGACTCAACAGCTCTCCTTCAGCAGGGGGGCAGGGGGCCAGTACATCAGGCTGTGGGTCAAAAGCCTGTAACCCGTTAATTTCACTATCATTAATTTAGAGGAAGACACATGGCAATGGGGCATCCGAATTGGCATCCGAATTTATGGGTGAGGCAGAGACCCAGGGGCTGGGCTGTATTTCAAGAGGGTCACCGCCACCCATCCAGCCATGTGCCACCGTCTTCCACTCCTTCTATGAGGAAATACGAAGGAGTCCCCTCCCATTTCAGTCACAGCGAGGAACGTGTTTCTGGCCCTGGCAGAGACTAGAACCCAGACTCTGAAGATCTCTCCCGGCTGTGTATGTGGGGGAACCACCATGGGGGGCAAGTGGCCATGGGAGGCCAGGGAATTAGGTCCCCTCGAGCCTTATGATGGAACAAAATACCTCAGTTCTACTACTGGGGTTTGGCTCCTCAAAACCTCAATCATTAGGAAGAACTGTCTTGCCTGATGGGGGAAAAGGTCACCATCCCTGTTGGACACTTCACGTGCCTGGGCCAAGGGTTTTATAACTCAACCACCTGGGGAACCCAGCGGCGGGGGGTTGGGTCACTGTGAGCCAAACCTTCATCCCTCGCCTAACTTCTCTTGTCTCCGGGAGGCCTGGGACAACAGAGATGCCGCCATCGAATGGCGGGCCCGGGTGGGAGAACAGCCTTCAGTCTGGTCAGGGTCATGTGAGCGGGAACTGTCCGCCCCTCCTTCTTCCCACTCCTGCGTGCGGAGGGAGAACGTCTGGGAGCTCAAATAAACGGACATAGGAAGTTCAGAGAAAGCGGCGTGCCTTGCAAATCGGCAACTGGAAAGATGATGAATGGCCTCCCGAGCATATAATCCGTTATCAGGGCCCTGCCACCTGGGCTGAGGCCGGGTCCTGGGGCTCCCGCACCCCCATTTACATGCTAAACCGCATAATTAGGCTGCAAGCAGTTGTAGAAATGATAACCAATGAAACTGCCAGAGCTCTTAACTTACTAGCTAAGCAGCAAACCCAAACGGGCAACGCCATCTACCAAAATCGCCTGGCCCTGCCTTACCTGCCGGCTTCTGAGGCGGGTGTTTGTGGAAAATTCAACCCGAGCAGCTGCTGCCTACAGAGAGCTGAGGAGGGGAAAGTCATAGAGGAGATCTCAGGTTGGATGAGAAATGTTGCTCGTGTCCCAGTCCAGACCCGGAAAGGGTGGAACCCGGGGAGTTATTTGGAGGATGGTTTTCAACTCTCGGGGGGTTCCAAACCCTCATAGGTCTCATCCTAATTCTGGAAGGTGCTCGATCGTACCTTGCTTGGCTCCCTTGATTGTACGATCGGTCTCCAGTCTCACTGAGACTATGGTTGAGAGAAAAATGGCTGCTCGTGTAATGATGTTATGGAAATAGAAACCTCTAAGCCAGGATGATGCTCTTTGACCCAACATAGAGGGGTCCGAGCATCAAAGGGGGGGTGTGGCAGGAACCCCTCCCTAAAGAGAGAGAAGAAAGGGAGAGAAGACTCCAAGGTCACCTGGATATGCGCCCAGGTGCCTACATGCCCATTACCTTGTAAACTGAGACACTTAATCAGACTGCAGTTTCTGTGTGTTACCATATGTGGGAGACAAAGAAATAGAAAATGTATAAAAAACTATCCATGTGATGTTCACCGCTCGGTTCTTTGGGTACGAACCCAAGTGAGTGGTGCCGCCGCGGACAGAAGTTGCTTCCTGAAAAGAAAGGCCTCGGTGTCACGACTCCGTGTGTGAAAACCCTGCTACACGGCCACCTGCCCAGTGCCCACCCACTGCCAAGAAGGAGCCCCCGGTCCTGGGGCCAGGATGACTCTGCAGGTGAGGGGAAGAGGGGCTGCAGAAGCCATGGCCGGATGTACCCCCTCTAGGGAGCCCACCCTCGGTGCCGAGGGCCTTCTCTGTGAGACCTGGGGACTCATATCTGCCCCTGGAGGGCTGTCTGGGCCTGGGCCCTCGTGACCTGGGCTGGAATGGGGTGGGGGCACATGGCAGGCTTCACTCGTACGCTTTCTTTTTCCTGGAATGAAGTCTGTGGCTCCGTCAGTCACAGCCCGTGTCCTCCATGAAAGCCAGGATGGCCGGCGGCGGCAGGTGTCACTTCTAACCACTTGACAGGGGTTTCCTTCACGGACCCACAGCTCAGCCACACGAGCCTGTGTGGTCACAGGAGCGACAACCCGGCTGGAAGAGCCCCCGCCCCTGGAACCAGCTGCTCAGAGCCCCCAGCCCCCTGAGGCCACCGATGTCCTTCCTGTCTGTGGCTCTGCCTTTTCTGAAAGAATGTGCCTTTCCGCTCGGGTCTGTCTCCCTCGGCACGATGCCCTCGAGGCTCCTGGGCGACACGGCGGCACCGGGCAGTGCTGGGTCCTCCCTGTGCCAGGCGCCGCCCCACGTGTGGATGCACCACGCCCTGTCGTCATTCACCGGCAGCGGGTCTGCAGCGTGGCGACCCTGCAGCGGAGCCCGCCCGCAGCTGAAAGCGGCTTTCCAGCCCGGTACTAGCAGGCTCCCCGCGGGCTGAGCGCCCCCCCAGAGCCCATCCCCAGCCCAGTGTCTACCCCGCAGGGACCCCCTCCCGCCTGGCTGCCCGCGCACAGAGCCCTCTGTGCGTGCCCACGGAGCACTGCCCTCCAGGGGCCGGGCGCGCAGGCCGGGGGCATCCTGGTGTGGACTCCGGGGACGAGGCTCCAGCTGCGAGCGCCTGCTGCGGCCACCACACAGCCCAGGGCCCGGCCACGAATGCTGAGGAATGCTCCGGAGGCCCCCGTGTGCCGCGGACCTGCAGGCCAGCGTGGCTTTCCTCCCTCGTTTATTTATGGCTGTGAGCCGAGAACGTTCTGGGCTGGGAGCTGGGGACTCAGAAGCCAGCAGGCCACCACGAGCACCTGTTGTCACGGAGTTTATAGGACGTGGAGCCGGAGAGTGACTATACACAGAGGAAAACACGAAGCTCAAAGCCTGGGGGAAACAGACCGAGGCTGGGGTGCAGACGGGTGTTAGGAGGGCTGCATGGAGGAGGCAGAGGCCGGAAGCTGCCCAGGGAGTGGGAGACTCCTGCAGGTGTTGGATCGGCCGCTGGGCTGGAGGCCGGGAGCTGGGTTTCATCCCGGGCGCCCCGACGACTCAGGAGGACCGTGCAGGGGGACACGTCACATCTGTGCTCCTCGGGGCTCGCGCCCACCGCTGCGTGGGGAGCGCGTCTCGGGGGATGAGCAGTGGGGAAGCCAACAGGGGGCAGAGCCGCACTGGAGCCCCCGGTCGGGGACATGCTGGTGGCGGGGGCGTCTTCCGTGGGTTGGGGCGCCCCTCAGGGCGGGGGGAAGGCCTGGAGCACCACCCTCCCTGGCCCCGCAGTCCTGTGGCTGGGGTCCACGTCTCTCCTGCCGCCACCCTTTCCTTGGGGGTGGGGGCCTGGGGCTGGGGGCCCTGACGCTCCGGCCTTCCTGCGCCCCCATCCGCACGGTGCGTTTGGACAAGGACTTTATCTGTAGCTTATGCACGTGCATGTTCAACAACAAGGTATGATTTACACACGGTGGGACTCACCTTCCGGCGACAGAGCTGAGGGTTTTGACAAATTGCAGGCACGTGACCACCAGGCTCCAGGCTCCAAACACGTCCCCGAGCCCCCCTGCCTTCTGCCACTCCGGCCCCGCAAGTTCCTGCCACCAGAGCAGCCCTCTGTCTCTAGGACGGGCCTGATCTAGAAGGTCTGCAGCCTTTCTGGAAAGGCTTCTCTCACAGCAAAAGCCTTTGGGGTTTATCTAAGCTCCTCACCTGAGCAGACGTTGTGGGCTTTTCATTCCCTCCCTGCACGGAGGGACCCCACCCGTCCACTTACCCACCGAGGACATGTGGTTTTCTCCGCTTTTTAGTGATTGTGACAGAGCCCAGCAAACACCCAAGTGCGGGCTCATTTCGCCCGCGTCAGTGCCACGGTGCACGTAGTCGCGCTGCCTGGGACGGGCGTCTCCCTGTGTGAGGTCGGCCACAGCACTTTCCAGAGTGTCGCCTCTTCCCGCCCAGCAGCTGCAGGAGGGTGTATTTCAAGGCCGCCCTGCTACCTCCCCTACGGCGAGTCTGGGCCCCCCTCTCGCCCCCCCGCCCAGCTGATGCACCTGTTTTCACCGGTTTCCTTACCATCTGATGTCTTCTTTGGTGAAGCGAGTTTTCAAATCTTTTGCCTGTTTTTCTTTTCTTTTCTAACTTGGGCTGTTTGTTTTTCTTATCTTTGCATCTGTCTGGAGAGTTCTTTATAGATTTAGGATTTAAGCCCTTTATCAGATGTGTGTTTTGAAAATATTTTCATGGGAAGGCTTTCCCTGCCTTCTACCCAATGACTTCGGGGCCTGGCCAGGCGTGGAAGCCCTCCGCCCCCCTCCCCTCCCCGCAGGGGGACCAGGCCTTTCTCTGGGCCCATGTGCCCTTCCGCCCCAGAGCACTCAGCGGGGCTGGGCCTCCCCGGGACCCCTTCCGCCTCCTCGGGGCGCTGTGCCGCCAGGACACAGGGTGGCCTCAGATAGCGCATCTGGGTGCTCTGTGTGCGCAGGCAGGTCAGCGGGGGGGGGTCTTGCCACCGTAGCCCCCACCGGCCCCGGCGCCTCCTTGGCGATGCGCACGCCCACACGCTTACGCAACCCTTGATAAGGTGATTGTGATACCATAATCCGCCCGGTCAGGCAGCAGGGCTCCCCCTCCGGACGGGCGGCTGGAGGCCCACTTGGTGGCTGGGTGGGGGCGGTGGGGTCTAGAGCGAGGGGCACCCCGGCCTCTGACGTCCCCTCTGTCGCAGCTGGCCCGGGGCAGGCTCTGCTCTAGATGGAGCCCTGAGGCCTGGCCGGCGGGGAGGAGGGACTGAGGGCTGGGGGCCCAGGCCTGAGTGGTGGCCCGCTGGCTGCAGCACCCCCAAGGGCCCTGGGCCCCCAGCCCCAGCCAGGCTGGAGGTGGATGGAGGCCAGGATGAGGTCCCGCTTCATCCTCCGTGACTGCCTGGCAGGCCTGGGGCACAGATGCTCCGTCGGGGTCGGGAGAGGGGCGAGCTGGCCTCTCTGGAGCCGTCCCGGAAATGACCCCTGGGGCCACTGGGGGCTCTTGAGTGACTGTGCCAGACAATGGACAAAGGGGACTGGGGTGTCCAGAGCCAAGTGCCTTCTGAGGTCAGCTGGGGGTGGGGGGGCCGGGGTATAAAGCCGGGCGTCCGGGGCTGCGACTCGGGCGCCAGGAGCCGGAAGGCAGGCATGGGAATGAAGCGGGTCATCCTGGGCCACGTCCTGGTGCTGCTCTGGGTGCCCGCGGCTTGGGCTGAGGTCCTCGTGCAGCCACATTTTGATGCCAAAAAGGTAACAGAGGCCCCCGCACTCTGCCGCAGGTGGGGTGGGGGCCGAGCCCACGGACGCGCTCCCCACGGGTCACGGCCACTGCTGCCGTCCACGGGCCACTTGCTCTGTGCCTTGGGCCTGCGACCCTGTGGATCCTCTCTCCATTCAATGCTGAGACGACCCCTGGGGATCATTACTGAGCCATTTCACGGTCGGGGGAAGGGAGGTGGTGGGACCTGCCCGGGGAGGTGGCAGAACGGGAGCTCCGACCAAGAGAGGGGCGCTCAGCTCCCCACAAGCCTGCTTGGCCTCCGGCCACCGAGCTTCCTCCCAGTTCTCAGGCCTCTGGTACGTGGCCTCCATGGTCTCCGACTGCAAGGTCTTCCTGGGCAAGAAGGACCATCTGCTGATGTCCACCAGGCTCATCAAGGCCGAGGCGGGCGGCAACCTCAGCGTCCACATGGAGGTCCCTCGGTGAGTGCGGAGGGCTGGGGGTGGGCGCCGGCCGGGCTGGTGGCCGAGAGTGAGCGCCGGGCACCCCCAGGGCTGACGGCTGCAACCAGGCGGACGCCGAGTACCTGAGGGTGGGCTCCGAGGGGCACTTCCGAGTCCCAGGTAGGTCCTGCCCCGCCCGCCTTCAGGGATCCCCGACGCGGCTTCTCCGTGGGGTGACACGGGCCACCCCTCATCTCCTGACCCCACCCTCCACCCCTCCCTTGGGCCGGAAGCCGAGGCCGCTGCGGGTGTGGGGTGGAGCCCGGGCCGGCGCCCCTACTTGCGATGGTTGCCTTGCGTCCCCCGCAGCCCTGGGCTACCTGGACCTGCGCATCGTGGACGCAGACTACAGCTCCTTCGCCGTGGTCTATGTCTACAAGGAGCTGCGGGGGGCGCTCAGCACCATGGTGCAGCTCCTCTGTGAGGGCCCTCCCCAGCCAGGCCCCACCCCTGCAGCCTCCCCAGCCCCGCCCCTGCAGGACCTGCCTCCCCCCATCCCTCACCCTTGAGTCCAAGCCGAGAAGGACCAGGCAGGGGTGGGGGGCCCCCACAGCTCTTCAGATGGGCGGAGGTTGGCCCGAGGGGACTCTGAGGCCCAGGCACCCCCGAGGAAGCTCGAGCACCTCTCTGGCTCCCTGTGGGTGGGGCCCCACTGCCTGAGAGCTGAGCAGGGGCTGAGAGCCTGTTTTGCCTTAATTTCTGGGGGCCTTGGCAGAGCAGGCCAAGGGCTTCCCAAGGTGCAGGGGTTGGGGCAGGGCTGGAGGGTGGTTCTGGGAGTCCGAGGGGCGTGGGGCCCAGGGGGACATGGCCCTGGGGAACAGCCGGGCCATCCCAATCTCCCAGACGCTCTTGCATGAATGAGGAAAGGACACCCCCTCTGGGAGGCTTCCAGTCCCCACTGGGCCTTCAGCCAGGCAGGCACTTTTGTGCAGTGCACAACCTGCCCGATCGTGGGCGGTGGGTCTGCTGTCGACTCTCGAGGAAGAGCCTCCCGTCTCCCCTGCCCTCGCCTCTGCGAGCCACAGAGCTCACAGGGGCCCTGCTTTGCCCCAGGCCGGACCCAGGAGCCAAGTCCCCAGGCTGTGAAGGCCTTCCGGGACTTCTACCCCACCGTGGGGCTCTCCGACGACATGGCGGTCATGCTGCCCAAGTCAGGTAACAGGCTGAGGCCATGCCAGTCTCCAGCCCGCAGCCCCCCTTCCCCACCACACGCTGGGCAGGATGGGGGCGTACCCAGGGTGAGGGGCTGCGGGACCCCAAGCCAGCCTCTCACCACTGTCTTCATTCCCACAGAAGAGTGATCCTCTGGGGACAAAGAGGCTCCCTGACTCCTCGGGAGACCAGGCGAGGCCCTTCCCAGGTGCCAGGGGACGGGGCAGGCCCTCTGCCTGCCTGTCACCCCGCCTCCTACTGTGCACGTGTGGACCCCACTCCCTGCACCCCTGCCACTGTCTGCTCCCCAAGAACATGAGTGACCTCAGGCTGGGTGCCCTCGAGCTGAGCTGCTGGTTACATCTCTCAGATGGAAGGGGACCACATTGCGTTTCTGCCTACATTCTCCCATGGCTCCCTATTGCCCCCAAGTCAAACCCCACAGGCACTGTGTCCAAGGCCCTCCAGTCAAGGCTGGAGCGTGGCGGGTCCCCAGGCCGCAGCACGGAGCCGGCTCCAGCTGGGAGCTCTGTGGCAGCAGCGGTGGGATTGGCTTGTTCTGGCCACGCAGGCGACATGCGACAAGGGCCAGCCTGCCGTGTGCAGGGCAGCTAGAGGGGACTGAGTGCGTGCACGCAGTGACCATGCCTTTCCTGTCCCTGCAGGGTGAGTTGGCGCAGCTGACCTCGTCATCCCGAGGTGTCCAGACCCACTATCCCCCTGACCCCCAGCCTCCCCAGGTCCCCACGCTTCCTGGCCCCCCCCGCCCCCGCCTGGCCAAGCATGTCCTGGGGGGCCCTCCCTTGTTAGTCTGGGCTGGGACCAGCCTGGGACTCCGATCAGCCTCCTCAGCCTCCTGGGGCCCCCGCCGCCCCTGCTGTGTGGATGACCCCCATCTCAGGTGTGTGGCCAGCTCTGGCTGCCCTGTCCTCACTGGACCTTTCCACACCTGCCTGACCCTGAGCTGACAGCCTTTGTGGGAAGGTGGCGTCCAGAATCCAAGGTGGTCGGTCCCCCTGGTGGGCGGGGCCTCCCTTTCAGCTGACAGAGCCCGGGGCCACTCCAGGGTGGGCTTTCCTGTCCCCGAACTGGGAAGGACCCTGCCTATCGGTCAAGAACCGGGATGCAGCCTCGACCCCTCCTGACCACCTGTCCCTGTCCCTCTGCTTTGTCGCCAGTACAGATGGGGAAACTGAGGCAGCGCAGCCTGCCCTGAGTCACACAGCTGGCGGGGCCGGGGCTGCTGTCCACAGATGGGGAGGAGGGGTGCTGGGTCCCACCCCCCCACCCTGGCGCGTCCTGGGCAGTGTAGCAAGACAGGGCCGCGCTTGGGCCGGCCTTCCGGGCTGTGCACTGAGGCTGGAGTGAGTCCAGTGGGGGATGAGCGCGGGGCCTGGCCTGGTCCCTGTCATGGTGGCCGAGGACCCAGGGCGGAGGAAGGTGCCTGCAGGGGTGGCCAAGCCTCGGCGCCCCCTTGCGTCTCCCATGGGCTCCCCCTCACCGGAGCTCTGTGCCTCCTCTGTGGAGACCTCCACAGGGAAAGGGGACCCCTCATTTGTCTCCCCACCTGGATACAGGACCCCCAGTTCTGGGCCGCCCTGGCCAGAGGGACCAGCCCAGAGTGTTCCTCACTGTCTCAAGGCTGATCGGAAAGAGCCAGAAGGAGAAAGGTGGTCTGAGTCCGAGGGACCTGGGCTCAGCATGTCCACCTGTCGGCCCCTCCGGGGCTGGGGCTCGGTGCCTCCTCTTCTTGGGGACCCAAGGCAGCCCCACCGAGGTGTCGGCCGTCTCCCAGGCAGGAACGTGGTGGAGCTGCTGCCCCAGCGCAGGCCGGCCCCACCCCCGCGCTGTGGGTGTCACTGGGCCCGGCCAGCCCGGCCCCAGGTGTATGACGTCACTCTCGGGAGCTGGCGCCACACTCTCCTGATATAAAGCCGGGTGCAGGGGGGCAGAGGCACCGTGCATGGCAATGGAGGCGGGGCTGCTGAGTGTCATCCTGGGTGCTGTCCTGGTGCAGGTGGGGACTGCAGTGCAGGAGCTGGACATGCAGAAGGTGGCTTTCCTGTCTTATGTGCACGGGGGGGCGGGGGGGCCAGTGTCCAGCTCCTCTCGCCCCACCCCTGTCCCTCCAACCCCCAGCCGATGCCACAGGAGCTACATCAGGGGCCCCAGGGCCCCTCCCCCGCTCCTCGACGCCTGCCGCACACCTGGAGGCTTTCCCAGTGTGGGGCCTTTGGGTCCCATCTAGATGCTTCCTGGCCACGCCTGTGTTGGCTGCTGAGCCAGGAGCACAGAAGGAGCAGAGCTGACGGGTGCTGGGGACGTAAGCTCTTTTCTCCTCCAAAATGATCACTTTCTGAGCTTCTGATGGAAGTTCTGGGCTCCGGGTGGGTTTCTGAAGGCAGGAGCCCCCTCCCCGAGCCCCTCGCGCGGCTGGGCGTGGCTGTGCCCCTCCCGCGGGGGATGGGGCTGCTGGCTGCCACCTCCTCTCTTTCGGGCTCTGGACACCGCCGCCCCTGGTATCCTGGCCGGCCGCAGGGACGCTCAGGAAGGTGACGGCTGCTGCTTTGCCACAAAGGCTTGCTGACCTTCAGAGCCCAGCGGCCCCTGCCCAGGTGGTCCTGGGGGCGCTCGCTCCCTTGGACGGGGCTCTGGCTTCTCTCTCTAGATCGTAGGATTTTGGCAGGAAGTTGGCATGGCCTACAGCCAAAACCTGGCACTGAAGACCCCAAAGAGGATGGAGACCTTGTTCCTGACCTTGAGTGGGGATGAGCTGACCGTGAAGGCTGCGTTCAACAGGTGAGAGGCCCAGGCCGCACCAGTGGGAGCTGCGGGACTTTGGTGGACTAGAGCCTGCTGCATCCAAAACACAGGACCCTGACCGGCGTCCCCAGCACCCGCCCCCCAGGCTCCCACAGCCGCCCTGCGTCGACCTGCTCCTCGACCCTTGGCTGCTCCTGAAGATACGCGCAGAGTTTGGATAAAGACCCATAAACCGAGAAGACCGAGATCCGTGCTGGGGCTCCTGGTGTTCACGGAGCCCATGAGGCAGAGGCTGGCACAGCCACCACCCTCAGCCCGCCCGGGCCTCCTGGGGACAGATCCGCTGCGGCAGCCCTTTCTGAAGACATGCCCCCCACCCCCCCTTGGAACCCAGGCTGGCCTTTCTGTGATGAGCCCTTTGCTCCCTTTCAGCTCAGGAAGTTGCGAGACAGAAAAAATAGTGGGCTCAGAAATAGATGTTTCGGGGAGATTTGTTTTTCCTGGTAAGACCCGTTGCCCTGCTGCCGCAGTTACAAGCCCCTGGCCCTGCATTCCAGCTACACTTGGCCTCGCCACTTCCTGTGCTGTTCCTCATGCTGTTCCCTGCACTCCTCCTCACGCCCCAGGCTCTCCCATTCTCTTAGCACAAACTGCGTCATCATTCAAGGGACCTCCCGGCGGCCCCCTGCCTGTATCACGGGAGGGTCCGGGTGCTGGGCGGGGAGAGGAGGGAGGCAGGCCCCGCAGACCCTGCCTCTGAGTCGGCCAACCGGAGGGGCACCCATCTGCACACGTGCACCGGGCTCCCCCCGCCGCTGCCCCCAGGCCACAGGGAGATGCACGTGATAGACACGGACTAGGAGCAGTACACCATTCTGAGGGTGTCCCTGCACTCGCAGGGCCGGGACTTCCACGTGCTCAAGTACTTTAGTAAGTGCAGCCCGCGGGGAAGGGGGAGGGAGGGGGCGCTTCTGCATCCGCCCAGCCCAGCCCCCTGCGCTCTCCACAGCTCGGAGCCTTGAGGATGAGTACAGACCCAGCTTCTGGAGGTTCCGGGAGTTGATGGCGACACAGGGCTGTACTTGGTGGCCCGGCACGGTGAGCACCGGGCCTTCCCAGGGGGCCGTGGGCTGGGGGCCCCGAGGGTAGGGTCTGGGGCCAGTGCCCCAGCGCCTCACACTCCCCTGTCCCGCAGGGAGGTGTGCCAAGCTCCTGCAGGAGGTTAGCGACCCCGCTGTGCTGTGACACCCCCCAGGCTGAGTATCCCGGCCTGATGGGGGCCCGAGGCCCTCTGGACCCAGGCTGCCAGATGGGGACCCTGGAGGCTGGGGCCTGAGGTCAGGGCTGGGAGAGGGAAGGGGGGAGGCTGGGCCTGCACGTCCCACCTGGCTGGGGCCACAGGCCCGTGGGCCCCGTCCCCGGTTCCCCATGCCCCACACTGTGCTGGCCCATCCCCCGGGCCCCGAGAGGTGGGGACTGTCACCCTGCTTTGCAGACAGAGAAACCGAGGCCCAGGGAGGCTGTTTGATCACAGTCATGCAGCGAAGACTCGGGCTCCCACCCGTGGCCCCGACCACTGCCCTGAGGCTTTGTTCTTCTGTGTCTCAGGAGCTGATATAGAACACTCCAAGCCTGGGCCGACCCCAGGGGGCTGCTGGCACTTGCTCTGAATAAACCCCACGCCAAACCCACTGCCCCGAGTGTGTTTCTCGGGCTCCCCAGGCACTCGGGTGGCCGTGGGGGCACCTCCGTGTCCTGGGAAGCTGGTCTCCACGCTGGTGAAATAATCCAGAGGGCCTTGCTCTGGGGGGGTGGGGGCGCGGGGGGCGGCTGTGAGCCGGGCGGTCCTGGGTACAGGGAATCCCAGCTTCTACTTGAGGCACAAGGCAGAACCCCCCGGTCCGGGCGCCGCGGTGGCGGGGGCAGCAGTGGGGGGGGCACAGAGGACACATTGTCCTGTCAGACATCACTTAAAACCACAGGTTCTGAGAGAAGATCAGAGCCTTCCCGGGGGTCCCTGCTGCAGGGCAAACACAGGGCCGCGTGAGGAGGCTGGGGTGTGGGGGCGGGGGCCGGCACAGCACAACCAAGACGGGGAGGTGCCCCGACCACTGCTGACCCCCCCTGGCCGGGCCAGCCGGTGCCCACCTCCGAGGTCAGGCCGTGGCCCTGGTGCCTCCGTCATGAGCCAACAGTGTGAACTGCTGAGTCATCCTGGCTGCTGCCTCTCGCGGGTCCCACCCCTCAGCTCCCCGTGGAGCTGTGACCCCAAGACTCACTTTCAGGCCCGTTGGCAGCACCCCCTTCTGTCTCCACCGCGTCTCTGTCCCCA